TTTGGGATGAGCACTGGGTGTTGTATGGAAACCAATTTGACAATAAATTTCATATAAAAAAAAATACACATTGGAGGCTAGAATACAATGGAGCAAGAGCTTCTTAATTCTGAAGGAAAATTATTTGGGAATTACAGTGCTACAAACATTTAAATTAATTTTCAAGTAGCAAGGCAGAATAAAATCATTTTCAGACTTTCACTATCTTAATACATTTATCATCAGTGTACTGTATTTCAGGAAGCTCCTGGAGGATATGCTCCGAAAAGGCATCAAGGAAGAAAACTAAGAAAGTAAAATGATACAGATAACAGATCCAACACAAGAGGCCCAAAAGAAGAAACTGTGAAGAACACAATGAAGGGAGATCTCAGGATCTGTGTGCCCCAGGGGCAGACAGACCAGGTCAGAAAGTTTTCACCCCCAGGAAGATGAAACTGTAAAATATCCAGTATGTCTACAGGTCTTGAGAAGAGATTTAGACAACTAGCAAAGAATATGAAGTTGAATTTGTGAGAAATACATAAAAAATGAAGTGAATGAAAGCCCCAAACAGGATACTCATTAGCTACAGGGAGATCATAAAACTGTTGAGGAAGAGTTATCATAGTTTATTCCATAGCAATGTAAGTAGAGCCTGTGCAGTCATAAAATACTGATTTTGTCTAGGGGTGTCTGGGTGGCACAATCCATTAAGCTGCGGACTCTTGGTTTCAGGTCAGGTCAAATGTTCTGTGAGTTCAAGTCCCATATAAGGCATGGAGCCTGCCTGGAATTCTCTTTGCTCCTCCCCTGTCCATACATGCTGTGCGCACTCTCGCTCTCAATTAAATAAGTAAACAAAAACTTAAAAATTATACTGATTTCATCTAAATTAAGTTCAACTATAAGGGGCGGAGCATAGAAAAGATGCATAAGCTGGGGGAGAGCTAAAGTCCAATATTCTGCAGCAAGAACAGAAAATGCCTAAAATATTAAAAAAATAAAAATAGCAATAAAGGACTTTATACATACACATGGAAGGAACATACAAAAATAAGCAGTTAAAAGAGATAACAATTTTAACTCCAAGAAAAGGAAATGGGGGTTGGGAAGGGAATGTCTCTGATTTCTTAACAAACTCCATAGAACTATTGACTTTGGACACAAAGTGCTGAGTGTTTACAGGAGGGAGAAATCATTTAACCCTTGGCATGGACAGGCAAGAGTTAACACATCACATTAAATGTGAAGTTGCATCTTTCAAATGTGGGTAGTTTTCCAAAGGTAAAACAATAGTCCACGACAGATGAGAAATCCAGTTTAACTTGAAGTGGGCTTTGGGAGGCCTGAAGCAGTCTGAAACAATCACATGTTGACTGGTACAGTTCAATGTACAATCAAAGAATAATGTCTCCATTCTGAAAGGTCTTCAGAAGGCTGAGAGAGCCTCTGGGTTTTCAATGGGCTTTTGTGAAAGACAAGGTATCTGGTTAGTGCACCTTGGAAGAGAACTATTTTGCTTCCCTAAAACTAAATTAAATTCCATCATCCCCAATCCATCTGTACACTAACCACCTTGATCCAGAATTCTATCAACAATGTACATGGGTAAACAATTTTCATGTCCTATCTGACTACAAACATTTACAGCACTTCATTACATTTATTAATATACCATACAAATTGTCATACAATTTGACATACAAATTGTCATACAAATACAAAATGACATACAAATTGTCAGGATGTCAGCCTTGAGGACACTTTTATAACAGTAAGGGTACGTTAGACACTTCAGTTGGGATGTAGAAGAGACTCATCACCCAGGGACTATAAAATACCCTACTCTGAACAGTTGGAAATGAGAGGTAAAACAGTCTTACTTCATAATTACCCACTATCTATTCCTGTGTGTGACACAACGCTGGCTCTCAATCAGTGTTAGCTGAATAAATTCATGAATGATTTTGAAAACAAAACCAAAAACACAACATGAGTTAAAAAGAAAAAAGCACAACACTTTTCAAATAGATGACTTCAGCCTCCAATCCCTGAAGTTCTGATGAATGCAAAAACTCTAGGACCTAGCACAGTCCTACAAAACACGTAAAGTTTAATGACAAGACTCAACTATTACAGCAGCCATCCTTTAGTTACTTCTGACTGCAATGTTTATATCCTGCTGGGTACGTGCTTCTACTGAACTCAATTTTAAAGAGACAAGCTTAATCAGTAATTACACTCAAATACACATAAATTCATGTATTAGTGTTACTAAGTGGTTCGGAATATCACAGAATCTTAGAATTAAAAGAGACCTTCAGAGATTATCTCGTCCAATTCAATATAGGAGTTTGCTCTATAACGTTTCTAGTCTGTCTACCATCATGTACTGGCTGCACTACAACAAAGGCCTCCAAACAGATCTACTTCCACATTTATCCCTTTGCAATCTAATCTCCACCAGCAGCTAGCAGTATTTCTCAACAGGTCAATCAAATCATGCTGCTCCCTGCCTGAAACGCATTGAAGGCTTCTACTTACACTCTTTCTAGAACTCTTACCATAGCATGTGGCTCCAGGCAACTTCTGGCTCCTGACCTCACAGCTCATTCCCTCCCGCACACAGGAACTTGCCTCTTTCTTAATCCAGGGTGTCTATGCTTGATCCTCCTACCATCTACAGATCTCTTTCATTTCAACTCTTCTCATTCCTTGCTCCCATGACTAGGTCCATCTTGGTGTCAGCTTTAATAAACCGAACAAAACTGAAACCCTCATCAGAGAGGCTTCCTTCTTTAACATCTCTCCATTCAATTCTATACTTGTTTGTTTTTTTCACAGTACACATGCCAATGAGCAATTATTTATTTACTTTTTTTTCTGATCCATGAGCCCTCCCAGACTGTAAGAAAGCTCCGTAAGAAGAGGGAACTTGTTTTTGTTTTCTTTTTCTTCAGGATCTAAACAAATAGTAGAGGCTCAACCAAGAGTTAACATCTGAATTTATGCATGGCTACCCAAACTCTGAGTGAAACCTATATTAATGGGAGAGTTACTACGTAACAAAGTAGATCACCTCAAATTTTCTCTTTCTGAACTGAAATCTGTCTTCCAGGTCATAAATTTCCTGTTACAACCAGCCAAATCAGGACCGACCCCTTGAACTTGATTTGGACTGGAGCTTAACCTTCAGTTTCTTAATTTCTCTTTTTGGTTAACCTGACAACCTTTTGAAGGCAATGGACTTTCTTTCAAGAAAACAGCACATCCTCACACATCCATAAAACATATTGAAACTTTCATCCCCTCCATTCGAGCCCACCACAGACCCCAGACTAAGAAACTTATTTGGACAAGGAGACGTGCCAAAAGCAACTTTCTGCAACGCAATTATCAAAAATTAAATTTGAGGGAAGATTACAGAGCACATTCTAGGGAAAGAAGAGGATTTACTTCAATTACATGTCAGATGTTTTCACAATGTCTAATGGGGGGGGTGCACCTGGCATCAGTAAATTTTCAAATCTGAAAGAAACATGGCAAATCATCGCCCAAAAGATAAGAGCTTCGTCCAAGGTCACCCACTCGTTAAGTGGTAAAATTAGGACAAGAATGTATGCCTCTGTAATCCTAAAGCGGTGCTCTTTCCACCTAAATCTCACAGGTTTCCTAACCCTGTGCGCCCAGAGTGCCAGTGCTCTCAGAACTGTGAGGGAGCGCGGACCGGAGGCAAGGCCGGGAACAGTACAGGATACAGCAGGGGAGGGGCCCTCTCGTCCCACCAGCAATAGGAAGCTTGCAACACTGCCAGGGGTGGGTGGTGGGTACAGGCGGGGACAGACGGACTCGCAGCGCTCACCTGTCTGGGACCCAGAGACGGGTGGTGCGGTCTCGGGACACGGACACAAAGGCCCCCGGCGGATAGAGGCTGCATACCAGGCCCCGCACATCCAGCTCGTGGCCTGGAAGCGAGCAACTCAGCCGGTACCTGGCGGCACCGCTCGCCATGGCCCTTGTCGGTCCGGCACCCGCGGCCCAGGCACCGCGCGAGATCAGTCCGCAGAAGAGGCCAGGAGTGCGCCGGGGCGCAGCGGGCGAGGGGCCTGCAGGTGAGGGGCGGCTGAGGACCGGAAGAGCCCTAGAGCCGGTGCGGAAGGGCGACGGGGAAGGGAAACGCCGAACGGGCCGAGTGACACAGCAACCCTGACATGTATACCGGAATTCATCATCTGTCTCAGCCCGCCATGACGCAAAGCGTGTGCGTCCCGACTGCTGAGGGCAAGGCCGAGCTGAAGCTCGTTTCCTTCCCGCGCCCTGGACGATCCGCCGAGGAAGAGATAACAGGGCCCGGCCGTTGGGCCCGATTGCCCCAATCCGGATCCTTTTCGAGCCCGCGTCCTTGCCGAGTCCTGGCTGAACAGTTTATTGTAGTACGAGATGCGCGCTGGGACTACAAATCCCACAATGCCACGCGCAGTGGGGCGGGAATCGCAGGCGCGCCGAATCCGGATATTTTAAGATTTGATTTCAGGAGCTGCGCGCTCCCTTGTGGTTGAGAGAAATCGTTCTGAACGTTTTGTCAGGGTAACCCTTTTGCGACTTTTCCAGAACTTCTGTGGAATCGCCTGAGACTTTTGGAAGTTAAACATTGTTTTTTAATTAAAACGACAGAGTTTGGGACCAAGTTGTAAACAGTCGTTTGCCTTAAATCCTAATACTAAGCTGGGTTCTCGGTACTCTAAAAAATTAAAGTATCTTACGTGTTAAGCAATTCTCAGATTTAAAACATTTATCTCAACTGTCACATCTGCATACAAATGACAAATGCTGCGTCCTCCTTCCATGTGTCTGAAGGCACTCAGGGAAAAAATCTCCATAATGTCAGTTGATTCAGACAATTCTGTGTACCGAGTAGTTGGGCAGAGGTTGTAGGGAAGGTAACAATCTTTTTTCTTTCTACCTTTGTAGGCTTTGCGCGGGGCGTTGCAACAAAAGAGGTTAATAAGAGAAAAATTTATTAACATACATATCTCATATATGCAAGGGAGAAACTCAGAAATGAGTACTCAAAGAGGTGGCTAGAGTCTGGACTTACAGCACAAGTTAACAAAGGAACAATATTTACTGAAGAAAAGGACTTTAAGTCTTTAGAAGCAGCAAATTATGGAGAGGCAAAAATATGGGGAACTAACAGTAAATAAAGTCCAGTTAGTAAAATTTGTTATGTGGATTCCTCCTGTATAGTCACTAAAGGACACTACAAATTTGTTGGGCTCAAATGGGAGAATTACATAAAAATATTTTACGAACTTGAAGTGATAATTCAGCCACGTGACATTTCATTTTGTTGCATTCATTTTAAACTACTTGAAGGCAGGCACATTCAGAAATAAATCTAGTTTATAAATAATGTATGCAAGTTGGAAATGTGAAAAACGTTGAAAGTCCAATACGTACGTACGTTATGATTATAGTTGCAAGCACATTTAAGCTTTCTCTACATAGAAAGAATGGAAGAAAACTCCAAGTTACTTTATTAGAGATGTGGGATTTGAGATGAAGTAGTTTTTTTTGTTGTTTTTTTTTTTTTTTTTTACATTGTGTTTCTTTATTTTTTTAATTTTTTTTTTTACCTTTATTTTTGAGAGACCTAGAGAGACAGAGCAGAAGCAGGGGAGGGGCAGACAGAGAATGAGACACAGAATCCAAAGGAGGCTCCAGGCTCCGAGCTATCACCAGAGAGCCCGACCTGGGGCTCGAACTCACAAGCCATGGGATCGTGACCCGAGCCAAAGTCGGATGCCCAACCAACTGAGCCACCCAGGCACCCCTACATGGTGTTTCTTTACACATTGATTCTAAGATAGTTATTTTTAAGACCACTGTCCATTTAATTCATCCTTCACAAACTTGGATCAAAATAACTTTGAAAGGAAGTTTAAAGATTGGAAGTTTCCTATCTTTAACGAGGAATAGATGTCACCAGAAACACATCTATACTTAATGTAATGTGTACATTGCGCAGACCTAACAGGAAGGATAACTACCTCTAATGAGAAGTAAAAAGATAGTATAACGCTGCCTAACACAAGTAACTAAAAACAGTTATTAAAAAGTCTATTACACGATAACACACATCATGTCACATACGAGGTGACATAGCGATATAATAAAACTCGCTAGGAGTAAATGCAGGTCAGGCACACAATCAGAAAGGTGACTTTGATTATAAATACTAAGGTTTTCAGACAAAACGTACTTTCCTACTCAAGTCGCCGTTTTCTGTTTGTTTCAGAAAAAGACTGGAGACACTCCGACAACAAAAATTAGATCTCCAATCTCGCGAGAACAAACAGGTTATTCTCTTTCTGTTTGGTGTTTCCAGGGGCAGAAGCCGAAAATTGGCCAATCAGGAGGCGGGTCCTCTCTTCGTCCCGCCCCCGTTGCCGGGATACGTAGCCGCGCGTAGCCGCTAGTGGTTAGTTCTGAGGACCCAGGAAAGCTGCGCAAGGGCAGCTTGCCGTGGCGAAGTGAGCTAACGGTGCTCTGGCAGACTGGTGGGCTCCGCCGGGGTGGCGGCCTCGGAAACAGGTTCGAGCGCCCGTCACCGCTACAGCTTTCCTCCTGACACTCCCAGGGAGGTGAGAAATCCCAGGTCCCATCTATCCCTCTCTCAGTCCCTCCGGAGCCGCTTTTCTTACCTTGGAGAAGCTGATCCGCTCCAAACAAAAACAAATCCACACTTTTCGGCTCTTAGCCGTTCTCTCAGCCTGTCGCCAGGCCTGGGAAGTCGGACTCCAGGCCGGCAGAGCGTGTGGAGAGATCACCTCAGTCAGTCCCCTGAGGAAACCTGCCGAGGCGAGACCGGAGGGAAGGATCCAAGAGCCTCAAAGAGAAAATTCACCGTGGGCTGAGGGATTTCACTCGAAGCAATAGATTTGTGTCTTTTATTAGCAACTTGCCAGTTGTTGGTATATGTTAAAATGGCTGGTTTAGGGAGGGTCCTGGTAGTAATAATTAGCAAGCCGATGTTTTTATATAGTATCTTTAATCTTCACAACAGCTCTTCAGGCCACAGCCCATTGCCACGCATGGGTCTTACAGATGAGGACCCACATCCAGTGGGGATAACTGTCAGAGCTAAAGTTTGTGTCTCTCATTTTTCTGGAACCAAAGGCTAGGCTCCGTCTCTGGTTTGCGTGAATAACGGAGGAGTTAGTGGCCTGTTAGGAGTGATCGTTCTTTTTATTTTATCTCCTGGGACTGATCTAATGCTAGGCTTTCTCCAAGATAGTAAAGCAGTGGTAGAGACAGTCAGGTGGAAATTCTTTTTTTTTTTTTTTTTTTAATTTTTAAATGTTTATTTACTTTTGACAGAGAGAGACACAGAGTGTGAGCGGGAAAGGGGTAGAGAGAGAGGGAGACGCAGAATCTGAAGCAGGCTCCAGGCTCTGAGCTGTTCCACAGAGCCCGATGGGGGCTCAAACTCACAAACCCAGGGATCATGACCTGAGCTGAAGTTGGAGGCTTAACAGACTGAGCCACCCAGGCGTCCCTGGAAATTCTATATGTTGTACATTTTCTTGAAGTTGTCAGGAAAGCTAGAATAATAGACTTAAATTTTACATGGACAACAGCCGTACTTCATTTTCTTGAGCTTCTCCAATAATGCGCTTTTTACACATTGAAGGTTTGTGGCAAACCTGTGTCAAGCGAGTCTACAAGTGCCATGTTCCCAACAGCATTTGCTCGCTTCACGTCTGTCACATTTTGGTAATTCTGGAGATATGTCAAACTATGCATTGTTACTATATTTGTAATAGTCATCTGTGATTAGTGATTAGGACTTGCTGAAAGCTTAGATGAAGATGAGGGTTAGCATTTTTTAGCAATGAAGTATTTTTTTCGCTAATGTGTAAATTTACATAAATATAACTGAAACAAAAATGTAATGAAACAATACCCTTCCTATATGCAGTGAACTCTTACATTTAAAAAAAAAATTTTTGTGTGATGTTTATTCAGTTTTGAGAGACAGAGAGCAAGCAGGGGTGGGGCAACGAGAGAGAGGGAGACAGAATCCGAAGCAGGCTCCAGGCTCCGAGCTGTCAGCACAGAGCCTGACGTGGGGCTCGAACTCATGAACTGTGAGATCATGACCTGAGCCGAAGTCAGACGCTTCACCAACTGAGCCACTCAGGTGCCCCTCTTACATTTTTTTTTAATGTTTATTTTTGTGAGAGAGAGTGAGTGGAGGAGGGGCAGAGAGGGAGAGAGAATCCCAAGTAGGCTCCAAACTGTTAGTATAGAGCCTGACACAGGTATGGAACTCACAAACCATGAGATCATGATCTGAGCTGAAATCTAGAGTCAGATGCTTAACTGACTGAGCCACTCAGTCACCCTTCTTACATTTTTTACTTCATGTTTAAAGCATATTGGGCAAAACCTACCAACTTGTTTTCACAACCCACTAACAAGTCATGACCCATAATCTGAAAAGTGCTATTCTAAATCATCAGCCAAAACTTTGAATAATATATTCTGATGAGTAAAGGAGGGGGCTGGTAAACTGGGAGAGGATGAGTGAATTGAGGAGCGGGTTTAAAGGGAGATAGAGTGAGAATAAAGATAAGATGGGTATAAAGAGTACCAATGAAATATTTCAATTGGTATTGAGATGAAACAATTCCAGATGATGACAAGCTCCAGGTCTAGCCATAGCTATGGATGAGTGAAATGGAGTTGAGATGGTTACTAAAATTTAGGTCAGGGAACTGTGACCTAGAATGTTAGATATTGAAGCCAGTATCCCTATGGAAGTCATCCAGGACATTGGTGGGACTGGAGTAGAGAGACTTGAACTAGGTATAAAAGACTTTAGTAAAGATGGGGGGAGAAATTAGGAGGTCCCTAAGATAAAAGGAACCAGGAAAGATCCAAGGCAGTAAGGTTGCATTCCTTGGTCCTCAAAGGAAGATTTGGAAGATTAATGTTTTAAAAGTGACACTGGGAAGCAACGGGAATGCTGTGCACTCCTTTGCTTTGGAATTATGGATTGAGAAGCTAAAACAGCCTTCACTGAAAGTGTTTTGCGGCAAGTTGGGATTC